CCCCCTCCCCCACCCATAAAAAGACCCAGACTGGGGGGGGTGTGATGGGGAGCCATTACCCATCATGCCCTGGGGCAGGGCTTACAGGACCCCCTAATTCCCAGCATCCCCTGGGGCAACACCACCAGCCCCCCCCTCCATTAACAACCATGGCCAAGGCAATGGGGACCTCCAGTTTCCCAGCATGCCCCGGGGCAACAACCCCCCCCCCACCCCCCTTAACAACCATGGCCAGGGCAATGGGGACCTCCAGTTTCCCAGCATGCCCCGGGCAGACCCAGGTGGCCTAGGCCCCGGTACCGGTGGGTGGGCCCACGGCGCCCGGCAGGTCGCAAGTGCTGGTCCACTACGCAGAAACGGTCGCCCAACAGGGGGGCCAGGTCGAAGGGAAACTCCATGGCCGTTCCCCGTTGCCCGCCGGGCCAGGCCCCGCTGTTGCCTTCGCCCGCCGGGCCCGGCCCGGCCCGGCCCCGCCGCCGCCACCGCCACTACTACTGCCGGGCCCGGTGGGTGTTAACCCCGCCCCCTAGCAACCGCTCAACCAATCGCTACCTCGTCTTCGCTCGCCCCAGCAACCAAGCTCCGCCCCCTCTGCATCAACTCTCCGCCCTTAGCAACCGGCATCCCGCTCCGCCGCGAAGCGTGATGGGAACACCCCCCTTCCTGCCACCGCAAAGCATGCCGCGATATATCCCCCGCCACACGCCCACCCCGAAGGGCCGCCATTTTGAGGGCCCGGCGGCCATTTTGATGACCCGGCAGCCATTTTGGCGGCACGACCGCCATCTTGTCAGCACCGTGCCTCAGTTTCCCTGAGTGGAAGAAGGCGAGTCTTTAGCGGGGGCTGTAGACGCTTTTATTCCCCTCTGTGCTCCACGGAGGGGGCAGAAGGGTTGTCTGGGGGCGTCCCTGCTGCCGGTGGGGCCGTTTCTTCCTTCAGGTAATCCTTGTAAAGGCGACGGATGCGGGCGACGGCGGCGGCGGGGGGAGGCTGCCACTCGTACCAGGGGTACCAAGGGCGGCCGGGGGCCAGGACGGGCGCTGGCGGGGTCTTGCCAACAGCCGGGTGTTGGTTGGAAAAGTCATCCCGGGGGACTGGCACATAGGGTGCTTGGAGCCATAGGAGACCTGCCGGGGCCGGGGAAGGGGGTGAGGAGGGGGAGCACCCGTGGGTGCCGCTCCCCTCCTCGTGCCCACCCGCGGGGGGCTCACCATGGTCCTGTGCCTGCTCGATGGCCTTGGTCAGGAGCTTGTGCTGCTTCATGCAGACCCCTGAGGGGGAACGCGGTCAGCATCCATGGGTGCTTCCTCCCCCCCCACCCCCAGCACCCATGGGTGCCCCCTCACCTGTGTGTGTGGGGTGGAAGACAACACCGGAGTGGGGGCAGATGAACTGGTTCAGGAGCTTCACGTTCTGGGGAAAGGAAGAGGAGAAAGGGGGGGAAAAAGAGGAGAAAGGGGGGGAAAAAGAGGAGAAAGGGGGGAAGGAAGAGGAAATAGGGCTGCAGGGGGGAGGGGGGCCCCCCCCCCAATCTTACCACCC